ATTATATAGAATTCTAAGCGTTAATGACAATGCTGCAAAAAGCATTTTAGCAATTATAGTTCGAGCGTCCTATATAATTATTAATTTGATGGTTTAAACGACTTTTTATTATTATTTTCTTATTTTTAATTTTATTTTTGCTTTATGTAATTTTACCTCTTGTTAATTGTAATATATTCTTCGGTCAATTTTAAAGAAATGTATCGACTCTTTGCCTTTTACTTATTATTATTTATTAAACGAAATTATTTATAGATGTATATATAGCTATAAATTTTCAGATATCTTAATTAAAATCATTTTTTCCGTGAAGTCTTGAAATAATATAATATTCAGTTTGGTTACAAATAAAATAGAATGATTATTCTATTAAAAATCAGTATTATCTTTCAATAGTATCCTTTTTTATCTTCTATATCTTTTATATCTTTAATATTTTGATTTAGTTAATTTCTTATTGGTTGCTAGTATTTAATTCACTGTTGAATTATTTCATACTTTGGTGTCAAAGAGTCATCCACGATTGAAAAAAATACCGACTATTTCATAGATTATCTTATCAAAATAATCTGGTGTTCCGTTAACCATTGTTGACATTCACAATCGCACGATTAGTAATCCAGCAATAAGACTTGTATGCTATTTCCCGATATCTCACCATTAACAATCACTTCATCGACTTCTATGGAAATAACAGTTAGCGTTTAAGATAATAACGCGGCTGAAGGTTTTTATTTCACACGTTTGAATTTGCATGTTTCAATCGTTTGCTGTGTTTAAACCTTATTAATGCCATCATAGTAACAATTAGTAGAAGAGAATAGTAATTAGTAGTCATATAATTATTCTTTTTATCTAAGATATTCTGTATACACAGACAGATAAAAAAATTGTTGAAATTATCATAATTTGAATATAATATTTATAATAATTTTTTATGCCAGCTATATATTTTTTGATATACAGGGTGTTTCCGGGCTAAACTTAAAATATGAATTTAGAAACATTGTTCTCAAAACAATAAACAATTTTCTTTTAGAACTTACAAATCTTTTGTTTAAGAGACATTGACTTCTTAAATTAACAACTATAGAAATGAATAATGTTGAAATAATCTAGATTTATCCTTTATTATTTTGTAATAATAAAAATGTAATTATACATTTTATTATGAAACAGGGGATAATGAAAAAGAAATTACAGAATCACAATGTCAGCCAGCTATTCGATCTTTCATCGATTGGTATAATACTTGTCTCAGGCTGAAGGATATCATTTTAAACAGAACATATCACAATTACAGTTTGATTATTGTAAAGCAGCAAAGAAGATAAGCCTAGATTATTTCAACATTATTCACTTTTGTACTTTTATAACAGAAATCAATATTTTTTAAACGAAGAGTTTGCAAGCAAACTTATAGAGGAAAATTTTGGTATTTTGAGATCCTAAATTCATATTTTACGTTTGACGGTTTAACCCAAAAACATCTGGTAAAACTATAAATATATTATAAATATTATAGCAACAACTATAAAAATAGAACTTTTAATTATTTTATTATGTAATTATATAGTTACAAATATATTAAATACTGTTCTCTCATTGTCAGTAATTGCTTAATATAACTCTGTAAGCACAGTTTATTTTTAAATTCTGTCAGTATGATATTCCACGCGATTAATCAACACTAAAGATACTTCAACAGCGCATAGAAGAAATATTGTTCGATTTGCATCACACACGCGTAAGGTCGTCATCGCTTTATAAATTTCTTGAGGATCAATGCTTCTCGACAGGACAAGAACTTCCTCGATCCCGGGATGATTCATATCGCTCGTAATGCAGATACAATGGCTCGGAATGCAGGCGGGATGGAGTGGACTCATCAAGGATACGAGCGAGCCACACCGCACGCCGTAATGTGGGTAATACGTAATGAGGACTTTACACATTCTTGAACGTTGACCGGTTTCTCTGCTCGTCTCTTTTGCGCTTGCTCCGGGAAAGATTTCTCTATGCTCGCGTCTCGCTTCAATCCTTTCTCCACTGCCTCGTCTTGCCTGCGTTGAGTCCAGTTCACCGGCGTACGTGTGAATTCATTTCACGGACCGCCGGTAATTCACACCGAAATGATCATTAGTTCAGGCACTCACAACCTGCGCATCGTGCTACTTTGCCTGCGTTCTCGTTGCAAATTAAATATGTTACCAATATTACATAAAAGTTATATCGGCAAGACGTAATGTATCTTTAATTGCACTTTGCCATTAAAGTGAAATTATACAAAATATCGAATAAATATATAAATCACTGATATTTTGTACGACTGAAATATTATATATTTTCATAAAAAATGTTTCTTCGCTTCTTCCCTTCTTGAATTCCTCTTATCATCGATATCTCTCTTTACTTATTTATTTAGACGTGAAAAGATGATTCTGACACGTAGGGAAGAATTCGCTGTGCGAAGAATTCGTCATTCGGTTTTAAAGATTGACCGCAATCTAACTTGAATCCGGCTTTCCTTTTTACGTTTCATTATAACGCTTATGCTATTGCACGTAGTATTTCGCGTGAACATGCAAAGACGTATACAGTAGCGCCGAGGAATGACGAATCTTAGGCGGTAGAAGCAACGGTACTCCGTAGAATGAAATTATACGTGGTGTACCCCCGTGTTGATTACATAATCAATGTCTCGTCGGCAACGGATTGCTGAGGAAAAACTCCGATCGTTCATTGTCAGCTTGTAACTGCTTATAGAGAGAGAATAAAGGAAGTGATATATTTAGGTTATGCGAAAGAGGGTAAATTTAACTGAATAGTTAAATTTACGGAGAGAAAAATATACATTGTCGTTCTGAAAATAGAAGTACGGTTTCAAAAAAGATATCTAACCACGTTTTGCTTTCTTACCTACGTTAAACAGAGTTATCATGATTATACTGAGCGCTAGCGGGGTAAAATTTCATTATTTTATCAATTATTAATAATTACAACTAAAAATTTTTTTTTCTTGATTATATTACATTTTTTTGTCTTGAAATAAATCTCAGGCTTCTTTCTATCTCAAGCAACTAAATTGCTGCAAACTTCTGTGCCGTATGAGAATGTTGTTACGAGTCGATGCGCCAAAAACCGATAATAAAACTGTAATTTTCCAATTTTTTTTATTTTTTATACAAAATTGGTACTTACGGATTGTGTTTTTGTCAATACTTTAATTACGGAAGAAGATTTTTTATTCTGGAAATGCAATTAAAAGATTAGAGAATTTGAATATTATGTAAAACAGAGAGGACAATTTCAGTATCTCTTATTGGTTAAGAAAATGTTAGAGTGACGGGTCGAACTTGATCGATGTTAATAGAACAGATTTTTTAAATTCCAAATTAAAAGTGTCAATAATAATGACATAATGATCATTTTTTACATTGTCATTCTGTTTCTTAAATGTATACATCAGTTCTTATATCTAACATACTGCTTGCAAGATCCGCACTTACTGTTAAACTTAATTACTGCTCTGTTTATAATTCTAAGTCTTTGCTAAGCATACATACATATATAGTACACATAATTTGTAAATCAATATAAATCTTTTTTTTAAGCTTTCAATCTTAATTTCATAAACTCAATATTGTTCGTTCATGTAATTCGACGAGTAATGCAATATTATTTTGTCTGTGCTTATAGAGTTTTATAAGAAAACGTCTATGTCAGGTAACAGCTCTATGAGTTATTTAAAAAAATATAAGTTTTTAACTTTTATGATATTCACTGTCCCAACTGTTTTCTAATTTTGCGTCTACTTTAATTTTGTAAAAAAATTTTTGATTCCGTTTCGTCTATTCGAACATGTTTATACGACTGTAATGTTTGTTACTTCAGCATCTTCTTAAATGTAATTGACTAACAATTATTTTTTAAGAGGCGTGTGTATTTGGGTCCCTCTTTTATTTTTTTTTTAAAAGAAAGTAATTTTACGGTGTCTTATTATTTCAAAATTATTTACAATGTCTGTAATCAAGATTCAATTTTTAATCATAATAAGGATATAATAAGGTAATGCGAGGTAAGACTATCAATAATCTTATCACTTGCATAATTTATACAAGTCACTGCATAATTAAATAAGCATTCTGTACATCTAATTGTAAAGTAATTTTTATTAAGACACTAACAAATAATTACACAAATGTGATTGAATGTTTTTTTAACAAATAATAAATTATTCGCAGTACATGTATCATTTTCTTCTGATCAAATAAATTGATTATTCTACTTATTTCTATTTTTCAAATTATCAAATATAAGTTTTTGGTCTGAAATTTCAAGTCTACGTTTTGCTATCTTGTCTGAAATTTGATCAAATACTAATTTTAATTTGTTTTTCACGTAATTGTTTATCTAAAACAGATTATTTTAATTTTTATCAGCAATCTATTAATAATAATAATATTAAATTATGTACATATATATATATATATATATATATATATAGAATAATAATTTATTCTTGCATGATAACCATTTTATGTATAATATCTTTGAATAAAAAGATTTCTATGTATAGTATTGAGGTAATTAAAACATAATATTATTCAATATTCATAGATAGAATATATAAAGAAAAAGATCCTTAACAATAAAAAATTGAACATATAACTCTAGAAGAAATCAATAATTTTACCTTTTTAAGATACACCGTGTGATCAAGGAATATATGGGGAATATCATTAATAAATTTTGTTTCTGTATATTCTAGAAGATATGCCACTACTTTTCTCACCTGAAATAGATTATTTTGATGTTTGATATAAATAATGAATGATTTTATTCTATATATAAAAATATTTTTAACGCATCATAGTTTATGTATTTAATATAATTGCAATAGTAATTTAATATTATTGCTACAAAAGATACATGAAATAAAATTAAAGAAATAAAATTAATAATAGAATATTAAAATAATTTAAAATGATGATAAAATTATAATTTACCTCTTCAAGTTGTTCCCAAGAATGTATATGGTTAATAATAATAGTAAATGCTGCAATAGTACTAACTTCCCTATAAAATAAGATATCTTTAATTAATACGTATAACATTTATTATATTTATAATAGAGAGAAAATGTATGTTTATCAAGAAAATAATATTACTTTGGTTTTATTTTTTCATAATTTTCTTTTATGTATTCAAGTATTGTTCTTTCTTTTGCATATTTTGTAACAAGGTACAAGAAACGTTTAACACGTTTTTTGGCTAGCATATTTACATCCTCACATTCATTTCCAGATTTACAATCTTCCGATGTATTAATTGTTAGATTCAAATAATTGTGAACAACATAAGAAGATCTACTGCAAGATGCAAATTCCATTATCGCGTTATCATTAGATTTTTTCCATGTATTGTACAGTAACCACCAAGTGCCGTTATCAAATTCGGACTCCATAAGACCATTACAAAATGTCCAGCTTTTCCACCATGATAAAATTCTATATTTCCAGAAAATATAACAATCAGAATTTTTTTTATGCTTTCGTATCTTGAGCAAATACTTTTACAGTTAAATAGTTTGAAAGAAATGTATAATACGAGAAATTGTAAAATATATTACCTATGTCCATCAGGATTGAGAAGATGATGATATATATGAAAACTGGCATTATTTAGACATTGGGATACGCCGAGAGTACATGCCCATCTTGCAGCTTCTTGTCTTAAGGATTTAGTAAAGTCATCATCATCAAAATTTTCTAGATATCCGATATTATTAAGGAGATTGCTTAAAATATATTTCATTTGTATCTAAAAGTTTTTAAATAATATACATTTATAATATACATTTTTTATATTTATTCAATGCTTCTTATAAAGAAAGATGAATGTAAATAACCACACGCTTATCTTTCTTTACATCTTTCTCTTATTTTCTTTTAAAAAGTACGAATACAGTACAATTTCAAATCTTGTTTTATATTTTTTAAATACATATATATTTTGTATATATCTTATACTGTATAACTAATATTGTATTATTTTACAACAATTTTACTCGTTTTTAATGTATTTTTTGCCTGCTGAACACGTATCATTTTTTAAATTAAACTATCACGTCACAGTTTTGAGAAAAATGACATCAAGGAGGCAAAAACTGACAATTTTAAGTGCCTTTATGATGTTAAAACATGAGTAACAACTTTTTTCTAAATTTCGCGTTAATGCTACACGAAAATGTCACCTTCGATTAATTAAACGCATTTTGTTTCGTCTTAGCATGAATTTTCCTTTATGAGAGATATCAATAAATTAAATCATTAAAAATAGTTATTTTTTATCTAATACATAATAAATTTTATTCTATCTTAATACTGTATTATATGGAAAGTAAATGCTTTTATACTTGTACTTATATATATAATTGCAGTAGCTTTTGATGTGTTTTTGAGGCTTGAGCCTTAAAATATCAAAGTATCAAGAGTGCTTGGGGTTGCAATTTGAAAAATGAAAAAAATTAAGTTTTAACAAGTGCATTTGTGCAATTTTGTAAAATATTGTTGACTAATCGATAAAAAGCGACTGTCATTATCAATATACGTATGTACTTGGTACATTAGTATATTTTTTAGTAGTAACAGTACAGTAATAACGTTACAATTTTTTATGCCTGTAACAATAACGTTAAGGATGGAGAAATAGCTTTTAAAAAATAACTTATTACTATTACGCATTACTTTTCAAAAGTGACTTTCCGATACAAAGAAGAAATTGGTAAACTTTTATTTTCGAGCTTGTACTAAATGCCAAACTAATACGTATATATACGTACATATGTATTTTAAATAAACTTATTTAAAATTAGAAATATATCCCGACTATGGTAATATTTTTTGCAACAATTTTTCTTTACAAGTTTTAAGATTTTTAAATAAATTTAGGGCTTATTAATATTTGATTCTTTGTATTGAAAGTCCGAAAATAAATTGGCACTCAGTCATATTTCTGAGATAAATTTTCTTAATGTATTGTATAATCTAATTAATATTAAATCAAAAGATATGAAATTGACAAAATACATATATTTTCAAATACACTATATACTTCATAAACAAAAATTTATATCAAAACAAACTAAAATGCGATTTAAAGTTAAAAGTTGATACTTATGGCATGGGTAGCATGGCATTAAAAAATTAAAAAAAAATGGGCAATATGTTAATATTTTTATGTACAAAATAATAAAGGAAATCATATTATATGTAAAAGAAATAGTATAATTTTATTTAAAAAAATGGCTATAACCTTAATTCATATAATTATAAAAAACTATTTTTTTTTAAATTAATTTTATTATTATTTGTATTCACTTCAAATCACGAAACTTTTATCTAAAACATTTTTGCTTATCCTATATGTATATAACATTTTTTGAGATTTGCTTGAAAATAATTTAATTAAAAACGATCTTTTATATAAATTAAAAATGTATACATTCTTTTTTTTTACAATATATATCATTATAATATACTATTATATATAATATATATATATATATACCTTGACATCTAGACTTTCTGGAAATAAAAAAAAGGTCGACAGATATTCAAGAGCTTTGAACATAGGGTACCATGCTACATAATCTGTTTCTTGTGGTAGATATTGCGAGAGTTCAAAAAATACGGACATTTCAAGTTGTCCTCTTATCAGGAAATAAAAAGCATCATCGATAATTTGAGCACGATTAAGAACATGTATTTTTTTAAAGTAGTAACGCAAATAATTTGCAATGTTTCGCCAATTGTCAGTTTCATAATTAACCCGATAATATCCTATTATATAAATAAAAAATATTTTGAAAAGTAAATGTAAATATAAATTTAATAAATATACTAAATTTTGTTAAAAATATTACCAATTTGTTCTACATTGATTATTATCCATTGAAAATCGAAATCAAATTGAAGATCAGCATACGGTTTGTATTTATGGATTGGCCTTAGCCATACAATATCAGAATTTTGATTTATTTCAGAATTGTGTAGCAATATAATTTTTGTCACAGGTATCCATGGCAGTTTTTCCTCCCATGATTTATAATTTTCCACCGAAATCGTCGCTAAATTAGGATCTACTTTTGTCACTTTTAGCACAGGATAATTTTGTGGTGGATAAATCCAATGATCTATCATCTCTAATACATCAAACCTACCCGGTAAACAATTTTTCATATACTTATAACTATATACAGGGTATATTTGTTTCAAAACAAATTATCATAGACAGATAGAGCGGATTAACGAGTCGAAATGTCCTGTATTATTTTGCAATTTTCGCAACAATTAACGAGATATTAATTTCTGAACATCGCTGAATAGCAGTTTATTGCCAAATACATGTGCGATGAGACTGTAGGTCTGCCCACCGTTGTAGATATGCGGGGAGTTATTTATTTAATTTATTACAAGGTAACAAGAGGCCTTGGCAACGCATAAGCGACAAAAGAAAACACATACTCGCGCTGGATGGTCGTAACATGCCATCATCACTTGCATTTGGAGGTAAATCGAACGGATGCGTGCTTATTTGGCGACTTTTAGGAATTAATAACCTCATTAATTATTGCGATAATTGCAAAATGACACAAAGCTTTTCATTCAACTCAGTTCAGTCAACCTGAGAGATGATGCGGTCATTCTCGGACATTGTATAAATAATTATACATAATTATATAAAATTATATATAAAATATGTATATAATTATACTTAGCCGGTCTGTGGCACGTGGGAGGAAATATACGTGAAAGTCTTAAAAGTAGATATTAGCTGAAATAACTTCTGTTACTCGTGTAAATAAAACATACACCAGAAAGAGTTAATATAGTACAATTACAATTACGCGCGCGCACACGCACACGCACACAAATATATTTTATATATTATATGTACATATATCCGTGGACAAGAACTCATGTCCTGTTCTACTACAAAAATTGTATATGTAAATCTTATATGCCCAATACAGTATAAATCATTATTTCAGCAATATTACAGCAAAATTTCAAATGTTGAATTAAAATATTAAAGCTTCCATACTGTATATATAAATCGAAATAACTCATACATATGTACGTAATTATACATAATTAAACATCTATAAAAATAATATGTAAATAGATACTTTATATATAATTATATAAATTTATATATAAATTATATAAATTAGAATATGTATAACCATGTATAAAAATGTGTAGAAATTGTTATGTATATTTATATAATATATACAATAAATACATAATAAAAAATTTATGTTTAAGTATATATAAGCATAAAAGTCATTACATATGAAATTCTATATAATTATATTATGAATTATACATAATTATATATATTTGTATATAATTTTACATGATTATATGTAATTATATATGAAATATTGTTTACCGGGAATAGTTTAGTTTAGAGTAATATAGCACATGCTGCAGAGCGTCCCAAAAATAATCGAGTTTTACCACGCTAAACAAGAAAAAACAAAACATATAAAATGATAAAAGGTATTATTTTAATTATCGAAAAGGATTCATATATTATATATAATTTGTTTTATATCAAACCTAGTTTGCGTATAATATGAATGCACTGCAGCTGACGAAGCGAGCCAAAATTTATCGGCATTTTTCATGCTAAGCAAGAAAAATATATTATAATTAAAATATTATGAGATTTAGATGGATATAGGATCAAGTTAATTAAGAGAAAATATAAGAAACTAATAATAAGGATAGAATATATAGTGAATTCATCCCAGTTTTTTCATCTCTTTCTATTCAACTATCACAATATGAAAAGGGAAGGAGAAGATGATTAGTCGTTTTTCTCTCTTGTTTTTGTTGACCGTATTTGATAATATAGTGTTTAGATACAAACGGCATGTCTTTAGTTGTTTTCAAACTTTTTGTTGAATAGGTCTTATAAATAATACTTTTTATTGTATAAAAAAATTCAGCACTAATTACATGGAAAATTAAGTTCCAATGAAATGAGTTAATTTTCATATAATATTGAAGCTTATGGTATAATAAACAAAATATGTTATAGACATAAATTTTACATATAATTAGTGTAGATTTTTTTATACATTAAAGAAATACTATTTACAATAAGGTCCGTTTAACAAAACACGACATAACTTTTTATTTTTTATATAGATTAATCATACTGAAGGAGACTAAAATTGGTAAGTCCTCTTTTTATGAGTAAAAAAATATAAAATTATATCAAATGCGTAAAAGAAAAAAAAATGGCGAAAAAAGAAGATAAATAATAAAAAATAAAAAAATGATAACAATTGTTTAGGTAGAAAATAATGTTATGAAATGGTACTTAAAAAAGGAAGTAGAGAGAGATATCAAACATATGTTAGCAAAATATAGAAGTTGGGAAATAATTATAGTTATTTGTAATTATGAGTTACAATTAGTTGTCAGTATACCTTTTACTTAAGACAGCGATATTGCATTTCTTCTTGCTAGATTGCTAGTTGGACATTTAACATTTTGCCACCGTATTTGGCATATGCGATGCTGGCATTATCAACACCGCAGCTAATACAGTGCAATGGCAAGATGCTTATCCAGCTAGTAATTCAGTAAAAAAAAGCAACAGCTTTAACTTAGTTTTTTTTTTCTAGCTGTAACTTAACTTAGTTACATTTTTTTTAGTAACTAATAATTAATTTGAGTTACTTTCACAGTTACTTTACACATTTTAAACTTATTTGTCAATTTAATGTAATTGATTAGAATTTGAACAGTTGTATTATACTGCCACTACTGCGTAGAAGACAAATACTTTAGAAGACAATAATTTAATTTTACTTATTGTTAATATTCACTGATTCTTTATCTTTTGTAAATAAGCGAATTATCACTATACGAATATCACGTTAATAGTAGCGTCTTTACAATTTAATCCTGATACTTATTGTCTACTGGTTCTTTGATACTCTAAAGGGCCGTTTACAATAAAAATAATGTGGTGCAATAAGTTATACGCAACCATAAATATTGACCAATTACAATTGAATATAAGAAACATAATCGATTATGATATCAATTTCTTAGAGCTGACTGCTTATTACTTTCATCATAGATGATCTATAAATCAAATGAATATCGTAAGGTAGTAACACATAAGAAAAAAACGAAGCGGCTAAGTACGTAAAGTTATTGTCTTATATTTTCTACTATGATTAGCAAATTCACAATTCATATCTTAGAAATCTTATGTTTTTCTATGAATTTCTAATTTAATATTTTCTATTAATATTTTCTATCTTTTAAATAAAATTATATAACATATATATTATATATAAAAACGTATATTATATTATGTATTATGTATAAAAACGTAAATTAATCTTTTTTTTTCATTGGTCCTAATAGTATTAAAATGTTACTTATATTGTTCTGTAATGATAACAGAAAAGTAACTCAAAAGTTACACTTTGAATAATGTAATTCATTACTTTTTAGAGTCGGTAATTTGTAACAATAAGTAGTTACTTCTTGAAATAAAAAAAACATAACTATAATTATTTTTACAAAGTAACTTTTTCGACCTTGATCAAAAGATATTTAAAAAAAAAATAAAAATAACAAACAAATTTTTTTAACAAAAACAATTTTATAAATTCTAATAAATTAAATATAATAAAAAAGAGAAAATATTTTTGAAAAAGATGTCTTCAAAACAAACACTAAAGAATAAAAATAGAAAAAAATTTATTGATAAAGAAAAAGAGTATTATTTTTATCGAACTAAACAATTTAATTATAAATGAAAAATAACATGAAAGAGAAATAAAGAAAATACTTTATGATTTATTTATTTTACGAATATTGTTTCTTATATTTATTACGTTTGATTTTTTAATCCTTATTTTAATCTATTGATTACAATACTTACTGTATATTTAGGAACTTTTTCATAGCTTTAGCAAACAATTCATTGGAAACTGCACGTTGTAACATACGTAATAGAGCAGGTCCTATGGCAATACACGTACATAATGAAAAAAGTAATTATTTAATATAAGAAAACCTATTTAATATAAGAGGCCTTCAGCCTCCTAATAATGAATTTGATCTTGACATTTGTTCTCAAAGAATTTTCTCATGGTCTTGAGAAGTGATCTTGAGAAGGTTTAAAAAGATTAAAAAGTTATTAATCAACAACATTGAGTGTATATGATACACATTTTAAGGATTTATTTTATTCCTTTATAGAGTGAATTCAAGCAGCAAACAAATTTTTATTACATGTATTATACATGTATAGAGTATCCATACTGCTAGAGTTTTATAATTCTTTAAATTTCCGAATATGATGCCCTTTCTTGTTAGTAAAATTAATCTCCTGTAAAAATAAGTCTTTATATTGAAGTCTTTATATCAAATTGATATTTGACAAACTTTTAGTTTAAAATAAGGAATAGCTTAAGCAGTACTTCATTGTTCAAACTTGAGTTCTTGTACAAATTATACAGATGTAGACTTCATTAAACAGTGGGTGGTATAGGATAGATTTTTTGCTTCGTGTTGTAAAATGTAGGGTAAGATCGCCTAAGAATACGCACTTATTCTTTTAAATTGTATTATTTACAGCATCACTGTTTTTCACGGGCTAAAGTTTTCAAGTGCATACTTTTAAGCCATTACATTTTTATTTTTGA